TCCGACAATCAACATGTCGTCAACATAAAGTAGGAGTGCAACGAAATTGCCATCCAAGAATTTCTGAACGTAAACACACTGATCTGCAGTAGTCCTCTTGTAGCCTTAACCCACCATGAATGAGTCAAATTTCTTATACCACTGTTTGGGCGCTTGTTTGAGGCCTTACAGACTATTCTTCAACTTGCAGACTAGATTTTCCTTTCTTGGAACCTCGAAACCTTGTGGTTATTCCATATATATTTCTTCATTTAGATCTCCATGAAGAAATGCAGTTTTCACATCCATTTGTTCAAGCTCCAAGTTTAAACTGGCTACTAGTCCAAGAATGACTCAAATTGAGGTCATCTTAACAACTGGTGAGAAAATCTTGTCAAAGTCAATTCCTTTCTTCTGTTGGAATCCTTTAACAACTAATCGAGCCTTATACTTTACCAATTTTCCACTACCATCTTTCTTCAACTTGAACACCCATTATTCCTCAATGCTTTCTTGCCTTTTGGAAGTTTTACAAGCTCATAGGCTTGATTTTTCTGCAGGGAATCCATCTCATCCTCCATGACTTGCATCCACTTGTCTTTATCCGTATGAGCTTGTGCCTCCTAGAAACTCTCCGGCTCCCCCTCATCAGTAAGTAGAATATAGTCTGACTCTAGATATCTACTCGATGTAATGCGTCATCTTTCAAATCTTCATGATTGAGGCTCGTCAGCTATATGAGATACACCATTCTCTGGTTACTGTGATGGTCCTGCAACATCTGGTGGAGGGGTTGTTGCTCCCCCTGCTCAACACTTTCATCAGCATCTTACTCTATTTCTGTAGTTTCATCCTGCATTTCGTCATTATCTGTGGCAAACTGTGATAGTGCAGGGTCTGGAACAATGTCCTGTGCACTGGAACTACAACGCCTAGCTTTCATGGAACACCACATCTCTGCTCCTGGTGATCCTTTTGGCCTCTGGGTCCCACAATCTGTATCCAAATTCTTCATCTCCATAGCCTATAAAGATGCACGAAGTGGTCTTGACATCAAGTTTCTGCCTTTGCTCTTTGGATACATTTGCAAATGCTTTGCACCCAAAAATTCTTAAGTGAGAATAGGAGGGATTCCTACTAGACCACACCTTTTCCGGAATATCAAAATTCAATGGTACTGACGGTGATTTGTTTATTAGATAACAGGAGGCACTAACAGCTTTGCCATACTGAGCATGCATCAGACTTTTTCCACAATCTTCTCCACTACTCCATTGTGATGTGGGGTACGTGGAACAGTCTTCTCATGACTCATACCATAATTTCCATAGTATGCTTCAAACTCTGTGGAAGTATATTCACCTTCATTGTCTATTCGGAGACACTTTAGCTTCGTTCTTGTTTCTCGCTCAACCATGGCATGGAATCTTTTAAAGCATTCGAGTACTTGGTCCTTTGTCTTTAGGAAGTACACTCATACCTTCCGTGAAGCATCATCAATAAAGGTCAAAAAATATCTGTTGCATCCCAATAATTCCACCTCTAGGGGACCGTAAACATCAGAGTGTACCAGACTTAACAACTCTGATCTCCTCTTCATAGAGGAACTGAACGAGACTCAATGTTGTTTACCAAACAAGCAATGATTACAAGGATTTAGTGCAACATCCTTGGCAATTGTGATAAGATCCTTCTTTGCCAAAGTAAACAATCCTTTTTCCCTTATGGGACCGAGTGTCTGGTGCCACAGATTTGGTGAAGCCTCATTTTCAACTGGGTCAACCTTCACATGGGTCTTGTAAAGCATGCCACAAATATGTCCTTGGGTGACAACCATGACACCTTTCGTGAGCTTCCATGTGTCTTTGCTGAAATGGTTATCGTAGCTCTGCCAGTCAAAGGTTATCCCAGAAGGTAGATTTAGCCGAAGGTTGGGCACGTGTCGGACATCCTTCAATACCAATGTACAACTAACATTTATTTTTATCTAAATATCACCAATTCCCATAATCTTGGAAGAACTGGTGTTTTCCATCCTCACTGTACCAAAGTCTCCGGCTTTGTACGTCGAGAAGAAATCGTTGTGAGAAGTGGCATGGTATGAAGCTGCAGTATCTACCACCCACTCAGCGTCATGGTTGGAAAAATGAAGGTGTGTTTCTTCATTGACAGAAAGAATGGCCACGTCCTCTAGAGAGTGACTAGCGTCTCTCATCCTGTTTTCTCAGCTGATTACTGTCTTGGCCTTGCCTCGTAGCAACTTGCGACAGTTTTTCTTCATGTGGCCTTGCATGCCACAATGGTAACACTTGTATGGAGGTCTTCCTCCGTCATTTGATCTCCCTGGATCTTGTGACTTTCCTTCCCTCTTACTCCTTCCTCTTCCCCTACCTCTGCTACCTCCTTGCTGTCTGTCTCTGCCCTCAGTGACGAGGGCATTTAACTGGGTAATGCCAACATTCTTTCTCCTGGCCTCCTCATTCAACAAGGCATCCTTAATCGTTGACATGGTAAGTTTTCCTCCTGGAGATGAATTGCTGAGAGAGACTACCAACGTCTCCCAATTGTCTGGTTGAGAACTGAGAAGCAAGAGAGCTTGTACTTCATCCCCCAGATTCAACTCTATCGATGATAATTGATTTACCAAATTCTGGAACTCACTAGTGTGCTCAGCAATTGAAGTTCCACTTTTTAACTTCAAATTCACAAACCGCCTCATCAAAAGGCTTTTTTCCAAGCAGTCTTGGCCTGGTACATGTCTTCTAGCTTCTTCTAGAGGACATGTGCATCAGTCTCTTGTGCAACATGGTGGAATACACTATGGTCAATCCATTGCCTGATTTGACCGATAATTTTTCTGTTCAGTTTCTTCCACTCCGTTTCTTTTGTTGGATCTAGATTTACACCTTCTGCCTCCAAGAGATCGTACAAGTCTTTACAACTTAGAATATCTTTCATCCGAGGTCTCTAAAGTGTATAATTAGAGGCAGTGAGTTTGATCATGGCTCCCGATGTTGATTCCTCCGTGGACATTTTGATTTTTTAGGCTCTAAATGTCTCGATCAAAAAATTTTGGGATTGAATTTTGTAAAACGGAGTGCACCGTTGCATCCGGAACGGTTGAAATAGCTGGGAAAGAGTCTTGGTTCACCAAAAACGAAGCTAAAATGAGTTCAAAATTGATTCAAAATTTTTTGATAACTTAACAGAATATTCCGTTAAACTTGACGGAATATGTTGAAGGTGACAGAATATTCCCTGGATTAAATATTCTTTAAGAATATTCTCTGGATAGAATATGCTTTGGATGAAATATGCTCTCGGAATATTCATTAACTGAGATGGAATATTCTTTGATGGAGTGGAATATTTGGTCGTCTTCAACCTTGCTTCGGTCACCGGTCTGGCAAAAATTTCCGGCGAACATCCGGCAGCAACTCCGACGAGCTCCAGTGAGCTCCAACATTAACTCTGCGCAGCCGGTGAACTTTTTGGCAAACTTCCGACGAGGACCGTGAAAGAGCGTACGATGTCAGATTGATGCAAGGCCAATGGGGTTCGACTCGTTTCGACAAGGGAATCCAATGGTGCACTCAAAATTTGATTTCAAGTTTGTTTAGAACCCGTACGAACCAAAAATAATGAGTTGGAAAAATTTTCCGGTGACCTAACCAAAGATCTAAAACCATTTGTTGGTTACCCAGGGCCAGAAAAATACCACAAACAAGATATAAACAAAGAGACTATCTCTAATTCACTTTGGAAATAAAATACAAGAATTTATACAAAAAATTCTCACTGAGATCTCTCCTGAATCTCTCTCTCTGTTTCTTTCTCACTGATCTTGAGCATAGAAAGGAATTTTTGGCCAAAAAATCAAGAAAGGAAAGGAACACATTAAAGCTCCGGCAAGCTGTGTCAAAGCTTCAGCTATCCAACTGCCTGACCATCAAATAGGGTGGCTACTAGAGTGGGCTACAGACTGATGGAGCTGGAACTTGTTGGCTATTGCATAGCATGGCTGGATCCTTCAGGTAGGTCACAAAGTGTGCGAAGATTCCGTGCATTTTATCAAAGAAAGGTTGGGTGCTATTCAGCCTACTACATACTAGTTTTACATAAAGTCAAGAGGATTTGCTAAACAATGATTTGGTTGCTTGAAGGATCTAAGAATTTCATTCCAAGGCGATCTTTCAATTTTTAAAGAAAAGTAAGGGGTATAAGCCTATATATTTTGACCAAAAAAAAAACATAAAAATTATAGCGACTAATAGTTACAATTTTTCAAACTTTTATCTCTTTCACCCCCTAAATCCATCGAATTGTTTGCTACAAGTAGGTACATTCATCTTGTTCAATGATGTAATAAATTGAAACATATAACTAGGGGATTAGGGAGTAAATTCCTGTCATATGCAAGTATATTGGTCTTTTATATGTTACTCTATTATGCTCTGTTTAGTAGGAAAAATGAAAAAATGAGAGAGATAGACTTTCTATCATTTAAGGAAGGAAAATAAGAATAATATATTTTTCTTTCTTTCTGTTTGGTAGGATGAATGAAAAATAAAATAATCAATTTTTTTGTACTTGGTAATATGAAAAAAATATTTTTTTTTAAATTTTAAATTTTAAATTATTTTTTTTAAAAACATAAATATATATTTTATTATTGTATTTATATATGAAATTAATGTATACATAACATATTTATATATCAAAGGATATATAGACAAATAAGATACATTTAAACACAAATAATTAACTTTCCGTCAATTTTCCTTCCAATTTTTGAGGAAGTGATTTTGGTGAGTTGGAAGGAAAGCTCATTCATCCACTTTTTCATCCTTCCTATTTTCTTTATTTTTCAAACATGATGTTTTATCTATCCCTCTAACTTTTCATCCTTTCAACTTTTCGTCATTCCATTTTTTCATCGTACCAAAATGAGCATTAGAGTATCATATTCTACTCTTTTTTGTCTCTCTTCTTGGGAGTTCTATTATGCTCTTCTTTTGAATTTATAATTCATTTCAATTTATTGTAATAATGGCATATGAGAGTTTATTTCATATAAAAAAACAATAATACTTTGGTGACCAAATTTATACACCAAACTTTTGTACCAAATGAAGTGGCAACATCACATTCATTGAATTTGTTTTGGGTGTCAATGGAACCCACCAATCTAACAACCCACATCATTTGGTGTAAGAATTTGATCACCATAACAATACTGAAACAAAAGACAAAAATAGGTACCACCATATCCATAAAAAATAGTCCTAAAACTCCAAAAAAAAGTAAAAAAAAAGCCTACATCACCCAAAACCAACTTTTCAATACTATATAGAACAAATTACAACCCGATGGGGTCCAAAATTTCGGGATTAGTTCTTCAAATTTGGGATCGATCCCAACTTTTCTGCATCGATCATAATTTGATCCCGTCGAGTCGTAAAATAGTTTATTTGTATTATAAGCTTCAATATCATAACGAAAACCATGTGGTTGTCTCATTGACTACCAAACAAAAAGCTTCAAGCCCATTTGGCCAAGAGAGACATCAAGCCAGCACCAAAGAGGAGGGAAACATTAGCATGTAACTGAAGCTTTTCATTGTTCTGCATTCTTGGGTTCATAAAATCAGCTGAGAGAAGATCCACAAGTGCCATATAGATCAATATCCCTGCTGATGCTGCGTTTAAAACCCCCTCAACGATCAAAGCATTTGGGCTATTCTCCTTGTAAATGTTTGTTATTCCGATGCCTATTACGATACCAATCGGGGTTGTCAGAGAGAAGAACACCGCCATTATCACAACGGCCCGAGATTTGAATTTTGCCTAGAGAAGTCCAAAAGAAAACAAAACATATTTACTAGCTTGATGTGTTAATTTTGACTTTGAATCACAAGCTTTTCATTGTTAGACTAAGATCTCTTCCAATCTATGTTCTTTCTATTTTTCTTCCTATTGAGAATTTTTGGGACCTATTATACCCAAGAAGGTTGTGATCTCGGCTATCCATGGTCCATCCTCAAAAATTTCATCCACATAAAAAAAAAAACAATGTAACATTAATTTAATTTGATGAGCCACCAAAGGATCATATCCATATTAAGTCTATTCAGTGCTACTCGTGAAAAAATAAAAAACTATATTACAAGACTTAGGTAAGATGTGAGTAACCCCAAAAATTAATTAAGCTAAAATGATGTTGTAAACATTTCCAATGGATGTCAATTTAAAAGTTTATGGTGTAATTCAAAAGCTGAAAACCAAGTCTAGGGCCTATAGGCTATAACTTTAGACAAAAAAAAAAATGAAAGTTAAATTGAGTAGTGGTGTTGATACCTGAGCTATGCATCCACCAAGTCCCATGCCCTCAAAAAATTGATGAAATGTCAAGGCAGCCACAAGAGGCCTTATCGTTTTCGGAGTTTGAGAAGCACCCAAGGAAATTCCAATAATTACAGAGTGGACTATAATCCCCAATTCCAAAACCTACAATATAACACCAATCATCGGTCACAATATATATATCATTACTAATATACATATTCAAGTAATAAGTGTTGACATGCAACAAAGAAACTATTCAAATTATAATTTTTCAAAAATTTAAACTGCTCTCATTCCAACTCGTTCCTAAACCACTAAAATATTTGACTATTCAAGTCAACTTCGTGATTTGAGAGAGAGAGAAACTTCATTGCATTCCCTTTGTTTGGCCTCGAAATTGAAACAAAAATAAATAAACATAATTTTTTCATTTATCTTCGATTACTTAAACATAAATAAATAAACCCTCATGTTATTTTTGACCAAAGTATTACAATCACAATTCTATTGAAATTGAGAGAAATTCTGACACATGAGCATAATTCAAGAGTTGGTGTGAAATTTTAAATCTAAGTCACGCAAAATAACAAATTAAAGAAGAATCTCTAATGCACACTCCTCCCCTTGTGGAACCTCCACCCTTTATTAAGCGTTCTCCTCCCCTGGTCAACTTACATGGGGTGCTATAGAACCAAATCACCAGAAGATAATATGGAAAATAGTTTAAATGTGAAAAAAAAAGAGAAAAAAAAAAAAGCAAACAGATCATAAAAAATAAATAGTAAAAAGCACCTGTGATATAACACGATGACGAAGTAGTTCAGATGAATCCGAATCCCCTTCAGAGAGAATCGATCCATGGGCATGACCATGTGTGGCATGCGTGTGGACATGAACATGACCGTCATCATGCCCATCAACTACCATCTCTTCATCGGGCCTTGCTTTGTTCAAGTGTGATTTTTTGTAGTAAGAAGTAGCATAGGTATCAACCATAAGAGTACCCATTGCCGATACCATGGCCACGAACCCTGTAAACGGAAAGTTCTGCCATGGATTCGCATTCAAACACGGCGATGTCAAGTGATCAAAAGCATCAGGAAGCACGTGTATAAACCCAGTTGCTAGAATGACACCCGCTGCAAAAGCCTTGATGACGAAAAATAAATCACTATCGGGACTTAAACTCGGTATGGTCTTGCTCAATACTGGAAGACACACACCGATTGCACCGGCTACGAGGATTGTGGCTATGGCGATCAGTTTGTACATACGTGCTTTACTTTTGTTATGACCTCCTTCTTCAGCATCACATGTACACTCACCGGAAACTATGGTGGGAAGGAGTATGAGAAAGGCCAAAAATAGTGACTTTTGAACTCCTGAATGTAAGTAGGGCTGATCAAGAAGCTTGTTCATGTTGATGGATAAGATTGAAGAGAGAGAAAAAGGTTTACTAGGTAAAATGGTATAAAGATCAGTTTAAGGCCTGAAATGCAGGGAAGGAACAGATTGTTCGTTATATAGAGGAAGTATTGTGAGAAACTACGCCTACCGACAAAAAAAAAAAAAATTTGGGGACCACCGAATTCAGTTTTTGTTTGCTTAAAAATATATTTAGTGTGATCGAATTTTATGACCAACAGAATATAGTGTTAAAATGACTTCTTTTAAATTTCTTATGAAAAATTTCAGTCACATCCATTTTAGTTTACTATATCTTCAAAGACATCCTATTTATTATTAAAAATATTATTGACATCCATTGTAGTTTATATTTAAACATCATTAACACTCCATGCTATTAAAACAGTATTTTTAATAAAAAAATTTATCCAAAATATAAAAAATGCCCCTAAATAAACCCCAAATAATCTTTCTATATAAAATTCGATTAAAATTTGAGATGATTAAAATTTAATTTGAGTTGATTAAAATTTATTTTTTTTACATATTAAAATTTGAGCGGATTAAAATTCAATTTGAGCTGATTAAGTTTTATTTTTTTTAATTATTAAAATTCGAGCCTATTAAATTTTATTTTATTTTATGTATTAAAATTCGAACCGATTTAAACTTTGCTAGAGTTTTTGGCGCCGATTAAATTGCCTTGAGTCAATTAAAATTTATATTTTGTTACCTATTAAATTTGATTCATTAAAATTTATATTTTTTTTATGTATTAAAATTTGGCTAGATTAAAATTTAGTGCGAGTTAATTAAAATTTTATTTGAGCCGACTAAAAATAAATTTTAATTAGCTCAAATTGTAATACATAAAAAAATTATAATTTTTAATCGACTCAAATTTCAATACGTAAAAAATAAATTTTAATATGTAAAAAAATTTTAAAAACAGAGGAGTTTCATTGAACATATTTTTATCTAAAAGAGATGTCAATGAAGTTTATCATCAAATATATCGTGTGCAATTTAGTAAAATTATGTTTTAGTTAATATTTTTAACTTGACAGCAGATGTTAGTTAAGATTCAAAAAATAAAAAAATATTTTGATTGAAATTTTTCCAATATCTTACGTTGATAATATTCACCGCTTCAACGGCCAGGTAAGTATGAGGACACTGTGACGACATCTCAGAATTCCGCGGGCTAGTCAATGTTGATAATAGTTGTCAAGTTCCATTGCATAACTGAATATTGAAAACAATAATCATGTAATTCACTATAAATGTTAGATTGTTAGTGAATCTTATTTAACATTGAAAATTATTATTATTGATAAAATGACTTATTGGGTCAATGAATTAAGTGTAAATAATATCATTTTACCAAAAATAACTAACATATCTTGTACAATACTTGGCTTATTCCCAAGAATTTATGCTTTCCTCCTATAATACATTCACCAAATAAGTATCAAAAAATAAAATCCAAATAGCAACCAAAAAAAAAAAAATGATAGTGTGACTATTATAATAAATTTAATCATTTTATAAGAAAGAAATTTAAGTTCTTGCCAAGGAAAATAATGAGAGAATCACACCAACTAAATATTAGATTCATTGACGTAGAAAATTGGGCTTAGAAGTTTGGAAAAACATGTCGACATAATGGTACCATTGAGAGAGGAATTTTTGATGAGCTGGCATTTAACTAAGCAGTTGTTACTCAAACACTTTGCAATTTTATCCTAGTTTTTCTACATTGTGTATCAGTACGCACGCATGATATCATCTCGACATTTCTATTTTATTTTTCCTTTAATTTGTTTGGTATATTATCTATTACTATTATTCAGTTAAGTGAGACTTATTGTGTATAAATGAATCCTTTTGTGCGTGCAAGATCCTGCACAATATAAAAAACGAGAACAGATCTCTCCCTTGGTGAACTCGAATGAGTTAGTTGAGTGACCAACCACGCTGCTTGGAACAGCCTGCGAGGTCCGGTGGTAACCTGGAACGGCAACGGGAGACCCTGGGGGAGCGGAAGAACGATCCAGTAAGGCTGAAAGAGGTTCCTGGAATGAAAAAGAACAAGTTAGAAGGGCGCCGGAGTGTTTTCCGGCGTATCCCCTCCGACGATCTAGTCAGTCTTTGAGAAAGAGAGAGGAAGGAGAAAACACTGAGTGTGTATTGTAGTAAAGAGTTTTTTGTTGCATACCCGTCTTGCCTTTTGCAAGGAGTATTTATACCTCAAAAGCTCATGATTGCTGTCAGTATAGTCAGTAGGTGATCATTAGGTACAGGCAGTGTGCGCACTGATTCTGATGAGGAATGTCTTCTCTTCTTAACTGCTCGGGGTCCCGAGCAATCAATACTGTGTCATCGGGATGCCGACGGTACAATGTACTCCTCTCGGGGAGGATGCAATAAATGCTCTGTATTAGGAGCATTTATTGTCTTTCATTTCCGAGCCTTACCGCATTGAATGCGGTCTCGTCAAAGGAATGGTGTAATTAATCGTTTGCTTTCCCAAGTCGCGTGTCAGCAACGGCATGCGGTTTCTCTGTCTTCGATGTGATATCATATGCCACGCGTCCATCCCCCATTGGCTGTGGCCCCTGCATTCTAGTACGTTCTGACACTAATTGTGTAAGACGAGGTCATGATGAATAGCCTAGACTAGCCTAGGCTAATGACCTGTACGTCAATAGCTTATCCTGGAGTAGAGGAAGCGTCCAGGACGGGGTACCTCTCGGCACCGAGAAAAGGCCATCTCAGAACCGAGGGAGGTATACCGACCGAGGTACCATATCAGACCGAGGCTACGTGTTGGTTGTAACTCGTACTAAATGCCATGATCCTATATGACGAGTACCTCAGGGGCGAGGACCTTTGTGCGCCGATGGTGTTTGATCTTAGCAACAGTGTTTTGGTAAATACCGAGGACACGTGTCTTCATCATGGAGTATTTCAGAAAAGTCCTATCAACTGCCCCCCAGCCTTCGATCTTCTAACACCGAGGGCACGCGTCGTAAGGAGACGAAGGGTTTCCCAACAACCACAAATGCTTCATCATTGCCTCGAGCAGCTTTCCCCGGCTTAGGATATCGTGTGCATTAAATGCGTCGTTTCGTTTTTCGCGCCCAATGATGAAACTGCCACTATATAATTGGGGTTCCTCTTGCATTTTCTTGTTTCGCCATTCCGAACTTCCTCAATAGAGCCTTTTCCTGAATCTTCGCCGGAGATCTCTTTCCTCTTCCATCGTCGACTGCCCATTCTTCCTTAAAGTGTTAAGGCCAGCAGACCCATCGTTGCTTCTGAACTTTCTGGAAGGAGTCGCCTAAAGTTTTCCAGAAAAAACTCCGTTTGGCATTCGGGTGAGTCCTAGTTTCTTTCTTTTTTTCTTCCTCCTATCCCTTTTTGTTTTCCGATGACTGGAGGTGTCTCCGGTTGATACTTAGCGACTAGTTCTCGGGAAACTTCCTCAGGGATTTTTAAGAAAAAACACCCTCCACTTTCTCACTTTCCTAGAGATGCCTCGTCGTCGGCCTGCTCCCGAGAATCCTCAGGCTGGTTCTTCGGGGTCAGGGAAGTATAAAGTAAAGGGTGGTGAGCAGATTAATAGGTTTAAGGTCAAGTACGGCATTCCCCCGTGCGTAGACATAGAGGATTATGACTCGGTGGTGCACACTCCTACCCTCGGGGCCGAGGATGCTATGCCCTTTTATACCAAGGCCATAATAAAGGGCGAAATTAGGTTTCCTTTACCCCCTTTACTTCTCTAGTTTCTCTCTCACTTCCGCCTCTTCCCCGGGCAGTGTTGCCTTAATGTCTTCAGAATAATTATGGGGGTCTTAGAGCTCAATAGGCGCCTCGGGATAAATATTGGGCTGAACGATCTCCTTTTTTGTTATTCCCTCTTGAGAGTCATGTCTCACCAACACTTCTACCTTAAGGCCAGGGACCCCTCCATGTACCTTGTAACTCATCTTTTCAACTCGGACAAAGGTACAAGGACGATATTCTTATTTTCAAGGGATCTTGGCAGAGAGGTGTTGGTCCCGAGTATAACGGCTTGTTATGCCATCTGGAATGGAGAACGAAAAGTACGTCGGTTCCTTCGGGTTTATTATTTTGTTCTCCAGACTCCCGATGTTCATGACTACTTTTTTGTTTGTGCAGATATCCCTGCTCGGGAAACAGTTCCTCCCCCTCGGTCGCTGGTGAACTTCGCCGACCTAGTCACGGTTTGGAGATTTGCTGGTGACAACGGGTTCGGCCGGGCTGCCCATATCCTGCTGAATTACACCCCCGGGTATAAGAAATTTTCACAGCTTCCTCAGCCTTTTGAGCCTTCGCGGTGGTTTGAATTCTTCGATCAGGCGGCGAGGCAAGAGGTTGAGGAAAACTTGGAGGAAGACCCCGATCGGGCTTCGGAGGCAGAGGTAGAGGGAGTAGTTGAAGAGCTCGGGGTCAGAGAGGACGTTGTTCCTTCGGACGCCGAGGTGGGGACTTCGGGAGGAGATTATACCGTAAAAATTCTGTAAAATATTTTCACGCTTTAGGCCCCAATTTATGTTGGGCCGCCCTTGTATTTGTTTTTTGTATGAAAATGTATGACACTATCAGTTTAAGGTTCCTAAAAACGGTGAAACAGATATTAAAAAAAAGAACAAAATCTGTTGTAAGTTAATCAAGAAAAATTTAATAAAAAATAATAAGAAAATATTTAAAACTGACTTGTGTATTTAATAATCAAATTTTTAGACGCTATTACAGTTAATAACCATAAAGTTTGAGCTATATACTCAAAATCAAATAAGTTCTCCGAAGCGTAGCAATAAAAAGCTTCAAGCCCATTTAGCCAAGAGAGACATGAAGCCAGCACCAAAAAGGAGGGAAGCATTAGCCTTTAACTGAAGCTGTCCATTGTTCTGCATTCTTAGGTTCATAAAATCAGCTGAGAGAAGATCCACAAGTGCCATACAGATCAATATCCCTGCTGATGCTGCGTTTAAAACCCCCTCGACGATTAGAGCAGTTGGGTTGTTCTCCTTGTAAATGTTTGTTATTCTGATGCCGATTACGATACCAATCGGGGTTGTCAGAGAGAAGAATACCGTCATTATCGCAACGGCCCGTGATTTGAATTTTGCTTAGAGAAGACCAAAAGAAGACAAAAAGTATTTACTGGCTTGATGTGTTAATTTTGACTTTGAATCACAAGCTTTTGATTTTTAGACTAAGATCTCTTCCAATCTATATTTTTTCTATTTTTCTTCCTATTGAGAATTTTTGTGGGACCTATTATACACAAGAAGGTTCTTCACTTATTAATGATAAATGATTTGTCAAGAAAAAAATAGAAGAAAAATTTATTTGAGGGGATCTAGATTGTGATCTTGGCTATCCATGATACGTACTGGTTCATCCTCAATGGTCCCATCCATATAAAAAAAATATATAACATTAATTTAATTTGATGAGCCACCAAAGGATCATATCCATATTAATCTTATGTACTGTTACTCGTGATAAAAAAAAAACTATATTACAAGACTTAGGCAAGATGTGAGTAACCCCAAAAATTAATTAAGCTAAAAATGATGTTGTAAACATTTCCAATGGATGTCAATTTACAAGTTTATGGTGTAATTTCAAAAGCTGAAAACCAAGTCTAGGGCCTATAGGCTATAACTTTAGACAAAAAAAAAATGAAAGTTAAATTGAGTAGTGGTGTTGATACCTGAGCCATGCATCCACCAAGTCCCATGCCCTCAAAAAATTGATGAAATGTCAAGGCAGCCACAAGAGGCCTTATGGTTTTTGGAGTTTCAGAAGCACCCAAGGAAATTCCAATAATTACAGAGTGGACTATAATCTCCAACTCCAAAACCTACAATATAACACCAATCAGCAGTCACATGTACAAATATTTACATGGCATCATTTTATTAGGACTTAATTTTCTGATTGAATTACTACGTATCATTACTAATATAATTTTCTGATTGAATTACTACGTATCATTACTAATATACATATTCAAGTAATTGTTGACATGCAACAGAGAAACTATTCAAACTATAACTTTTTTAAAGTTTAAATTGCTCTCATTCCAACTCGTTTCGAAACCACCAACCCAGCAACACATCTTACTGTTCAAATCAATTTCATGATTTCCAGAGAGAGAGAGGGAGAGGGAGGGAGGGAGAGAGAGAGATAAATTTCATTTTATTCACTTGGTTTGGCCTTTTTGATTTATCCTCTATGATTTAAAAATAAATAAATAATCCCTTATGTTGTTTTCCATCAAAGTACTAGAATCTCAAAATTATATTTAAATTGACACACAAGCATAATACGAGAGTTGGTGTGAAAATTTTGAATCTAAGTCAACGCAAAATGACAAAAATTAAAAATAAAAGAATCGCATATCCACACCACACAAACCTCTTCTAGTGGAATCCTCCACCCTTTGTGTATGTTGCTGCTTTTCTTTCAGTCCTCCCACCGCGTTGAGAGGTCTATGTCACCTCCCTTGGTTGGCTTCCCCTCTATGTGAAATAGAACATCTAAATTCTTAATAATCTTGGTGGGATTATGTTTTAGTTATGAATACTAAAAAATCGTTCTTTCTTCCATGACGAATTCAAAAGTAAAGACTGATCTAGTTGACTTCGGCCTAATGGGAATTTAGTAGTTGGATAGGTTAATTTTATCTAGAACATCATCTATAGGCTGTATTCATGACAACAATTGCTCTTGAACGGTAGCTATTATAGTCCAATGTCTATGTATGTTGTATTCGTGATTTCAAAAGAGAGATTGAGGAATAAATTTCATTTATTTCCACTATGATTTGAACATAAATAAATAACCCCTTGTGTTGTTTTGGATGAAAGTACTACAACCACAAATTTCTATTCAAAATGTAAAGCAATGCAAATTGACAAAATTAAAGATAAAAGAATCTCATATGCACACCACACACTTCTCCGCTAGTTGAACCCTCCACCCTTCGCGTACGTTGATGCATTTCTTTCAGTCTTCCCAACGCATTGAGAAGTCTCTATCACCGTCCTAGGTTGTCTTCCCCTCTATGTTCTTACATAAAACATCTAAATTCCATATATTCTCTATGGGATTATGTTTTAGTTGATAAGACTTCACAATCACTCTTTTTTTTGTGGCGAATTCAAAAGTAAAGACTAATCAAGTTGACTTTCGTCTATTTGGAATTTATTAGTTGGATAGGTTGGTTTTTGTTTTGGAAATCATCTCTTCATTGTGTTCATGACAACTGTTGCACTTGAACGGTAGTTGTTTGTAGTCCAAAGCTTGCGTGCATTGTATTATTGAACTCCCCCCCCCCCACACCCCACCCCCAACCACGTTAGGAGGTTTGTGTCACATCCCTAGGTTGAATTCCCCTCTATGTCAACTGACACATCTAAATTTCTTATATTTTATGTGGGATCATATTTTAGTTGTGGAGACTAAACAATTGTTCTTTCTTCCATGGAAAATTCAAAAGTAAAGAATAATCAAGTTGACTTCCATCTGATTGGAATTTGGTAGTTGGATAAGTTGGTTTTATTTAAGACATCATCTATTGACCGTATTCATAACAAGAGTTGCACTTGAACGGGAGTTGTTCATAGTCCAAAGCCTGTGTGTGTTATACTCATGATGGAGAGAGAGAGAGAGAGAGAGAGAGAGAGAGAGAGAGAGAGAGAAATTTCATTTTATTCCCTTAGTTTGCCCTTGTTTGATTTATTGTCTATGATTTAAACATAAATAAATAATGTCTTGAATTTTTTTTATGAAAGTACAATAATCCTGATCAAAACAAAAAAAATAGTACAATAATCACAAAAATTCTATTCAAAGTGAGAGAAATTGTGACACATGAGCATAATTCGAGAGTTGGTGTGAAAATTTTGAATGTAAATCAATGCAAAATGACAAAATTAAAGATTAAAAAAATCTGATATGCACACCAAGCGCTCCTCCCCTAGTGGAACCCTCCACCGACGTACATTGCTTCTTTTCTTTCGGTCTTCCCACCTCACCTCCCTAGGTTGGCTTTCCATTTGTGTCAAATGGAACATCTAAATTCTTTATATTCTTTGAAATTATGTTCTAGTTGTTGAAACTAAACAGTCGTTCTTTCTTCCGTGATTAATTCAAATGTAAGGGCTGATCAAGTGAATTTAATAATTATTGAAACTAAATAATCGTTCTTTCTTTTATGGCTAATTCAAAAATAAAGGTCGATCAGGTGAATTTGGTAGTTGGATAAATTGCTCTTGTTTAGGTAATGACAACGGTTGCACTTGAACGACAACTGTTTATAGTCTAACGTCTATGGGTGTTATACTCCCCCCCCCCCCCCCCCTCCCGGCGCGGAAACGCGGGAAACAAAAACCCACCCCTCTTACATAAAGCCTGCTCCTGCCCGACGTCAACTCTCATAAGGTGCTATAGGACTAAACCACCATAAGATAAAATGGAAAATAGTTTAAATGTGAAAAAAGTAGATAAAAAAGCGAACGGAACATAAAAAATCAATAGTAAAAAGCACCTGTGATATAACACGATATCGAAGCAGTTCAGATGAATCCGAATCCCCTACAAAAAGTATCGATCCATGGGCATGATCATGGGTGGCATGCGTGTGGACATGAACATGCCCATCAACTACCATCTCTTCATCGCGCCCAGCTTTGTTCAAGTGTGATTTCTTGTAGTAAGAAGTAGCGTAGGTATCAACCATAAAAGTACCCATTGCCGACACCATGGCCCACGAACCCTATAAACGGAAAGTTCTACCATGGATTCTCATTCAAACACGGGTTTGTCAAGTGATCAAAAGCATCAGGAAGCACGTGTATAAACCCAGTTGCTAGAATGACACCCGCCGCGAAAGCGTTGATGACGAAAAATAAATCCCTATCGGGACTTAAACTCGGTATGGTCTTGCTCAATACTGGAAAGCAGACACCGATTGCACTGGCTACGAGGATTGTGGCTATTGCGATCAGTTTGTATCCAAGTGCTTTAGTCTTGTCATTACCTTCTTCTTCAACATCACATGTATACTCACCGGAAACTATGGTGGGAAGAAGTATGATAAAGGCCAAAAATAGTGACTTTTAGTGAGTAGAGCTGATCAAGAAACTTGTTCATGGTGATTGATAATATTGAAGAGAGAGAGAGAAGGGTATTCGTAAAATAGTAGTTACTCGTAAAAAAGGAGTGGATAGATGATAGTTCCTTATATAGAGGAAGTATTATGAAACCATTGTATTATTCTCACTTTACAAATATTTATTTTTATTTCATAAAATTTTTATTAAAAACTATTAAGCATATTCCTTCTATGCTCACCTATTAGTAATTAAGTTCACTCCATATCATATACACTCCTTTAATAAATAAGTTCACCTTATATTTTCTCACAATTAGGGTTTTATTCACTATCTCATCTCATACACTCACAAAACACTTTTTCAATATGTATTTCTCTAGAGAGATACATGTTAGTATTACTTCTCGATTTAATTTTATATTTGATTTCATGTGTGGTGTATGAAATTTTATTATTTTTATTGTGTTTTGGTTTCTCTCCAAGATTAATTATTTTTTATTTAGGGTTTATATGTGTGTATATATATAAGTATGTGTTCCGATTAGATTTTTTTTTTTGGGCAAGTGTTCTGATTAGTTATTACAAGTTTGCAATAAGGGAAAATGGTATATTCATCGAGTTATTACATATGAAATCCAACATAAAATTAATACTAGCCTACATCTAAATAGAGAAATTCATATTGAAAAATTGTATTTGTGGGTGTATGAAATGAAATAGTTAATGAAACACTAATTGTGAGAAGATATAATGTGAGCTTACTTATTAATATGAGATGAATTTAGTTACTAATGAAGTTGACATAAAAGTGGTAAACTTAGTAGTTTAATAATAAATATTGAGAGATTCGGTGACAGGTACACATATTTTTTTGGCTTTAGATCCAACCTCAACATTTTTAAGGCTTAAAGTCTATAAAATTAACCTTTAACAAAAATATTCTTAATGAATAAGATTTGATGAGATGTACACACTCGGAGACCATTTTTGTTTTAGGAGCAGTCTCAATACTTTTAAGGTCAAAAGTTTATAAAATCAATAATGAACAAAAACACCCTTAATGAAAGAGGTTATTTAAAAATTTCTATCATTATCCCATTTTTATATTTATTACCACTATCATCATCATCTCAACTATGCCACTACCACCACCACTACCACCGTCAATCATCATTGCCACCATCACGCATCACCCATCACCCACCACTCATCGCCGTCCACCACCACCATCATCGCCCACCACATTCACCATCGCCATAACCCATTAACATCATCCGCTACCACCACCCCCACCGCTGCCCACTACCGTCACCAACCTAAACCAACCATCAACCCCAGCTACTACCATTGTCACTGCCACCACTCACCGCTGTTACTGTCGCCAATCACAATCACCACCAACTCCTTCATCATTACCATCACCGTCATCCCCGCCAACACCATCCACCCACCACCACCACTTGTCCCCACAGCAGTACCCATTGTCACTGTAAACCCCCACATGTCTAAACTATCAACAATCGTCCAATTAGTTTCGTTTTGCATTTAACGTCTCCATTTACATCCTAAATCAAAATATAAGAATAATAAGTATATTTAGGCTCCAAATAAGTATAAAAGGCTAAATATTAAAAGAGAAAAAATATGAATTTTTGCATTTTCATCAATTAGCTAGCTTAGAAGAATTGAAGAAAAATGTTGATGGATATACTAGTTCTACATCATCTTGTTATAAATGATTTTAAGAGACGGATGGTAATTTGGTTTTGGTTAATGAATGATGCTAGACATGAATTTTTATACAAGTCATACTATCTATATTGGAGATGGGTATGAGAAAGAATTTGTGACAAAAGACACCAAACTCGAGTTAGACAAGTATAGAAGAACTAAGCAGTCCGACAGACTACTTTTCATTAATTTGATCATAACTCTTTGTTAGAAAATCCAAATTGTGCACCGTTATTTTTGTTATAATTCTAACTCGTATATCTTTCCAACCATATAGGTCACACATATTAGAAATATCTGAGTCAAATCAGTTTATTCTCCGAAGTTGATCAAAAATCTGTACTGTGGTGTTCCTTGGATAGTAAAATATTGTACTTTCTTCTTAGACTTTGAAGGTGTAAACCCCACATGTTTATATTAATATAGTAATGTACTTTTTTAGTATTTTTATATATGTAATGATGTAAGAATAAACCATATATATTGAAACCGTAAGAATAAATACTAGGGAGCAATAAAATAATAATTTTAATGTTTCGAGTGTAAATTTATTTTAGTTTTGAAATAAATATTTTTAGGTTAAAATAACATCAAAAATGAATCCGAAACGTCGAAAAAATTTTAGGGTAGTCATATGGATCAAATTGGAGATTTTTAGTGGCAAAATCGTAATTTCAGAGAAAATCTAAATTTCAGCCTGTGAACAGTAACCGTCGGGACTGCTGTGTTTAAAACACAGATTTTCAGTCCATTTGCTTCTATTTCTTTCATTCCACTCTCACCTCAAACCTGTTAGCACCCTAGGAGAAGATAGAGGAAAGGAGGAAAGGGAGAAAGAAGGTCTCTAGAGCTTGAATTTTTGGCTTGAAATTTTGATTCAAGGTAGGGGTTTCTCTCACTCTTGTTCATTGAGACTAGGGCTATATATATATAGATATGTTTTTGACTCTAAATCTTATATATGTGTTAGTAAATCTTTGATGTTTGATATCCTTGCAAATATTGTTATGTTTTAAAACAAGGCTATGGTTGGATTGCATGAAACCTCTATTTCTTATTTTGAAACCCTTGTTCTCATGAGAGGTAGATTTTTCTCTCAATATTCATTTGTTCTTGATTTCTAAAACTATAGTGCTTTGTGTTGAGTAATAAATGATGTTGTTGTGATCTCTTGTATTTTTTCTTAATTGGTTATTGGAATTGTAACATGATAAATTTGAAAATTTTTTAGATATGTTTGTAAAAATGAGAAATTGTGAAATCTGTATTTATTTGGAATTGTTGGTGAATTGAGAATATTTTGGTTTCCTCATTTGTTTGGTGGTTGTGATGAACTTGGCTTGTCATCGAGAGATGTCATAGGGTGTTAGAGGTTAGTCTATCCCAATAGGGTTGTGAGATGATTTCTAACACTTGTTGGGTTGTCATCTAGTAATGCGACCACTATCGTTC